TTTATTTTTTCTCGCTTTTTGCTTGTTTGTTTCATCTTTTTCTTTCTCACCTTTTCTTCCTTTCTTTCTTTCTTTCTTTTTTGTCGACTATTCTTTGTTTCTTTCCTTTTTTCTTTCTTTTTCGTCTTTTCTTTTTCGCCTTTTCTTTTTTCTTTCTTTTTCGACTTTTCTTTTTTCTTTCTTTTTTCTTTCTTGCCTTTTCTTTCTTTCTCTCTCGCCTATTCTTTCTTTCTTTCTCGCCTATTCTTTCTTTCTTTCCTTTTTTCTTTCTTTTTCGCCTTTTCTCTTTTCTTTCTTGCCTTTTCTTTCTTTCCTTCTCGCCTACTCTTTCTTTCTTTCCTTTTTTTTTTATTTTCGCATTTTCTTTCTTTTTCTTTCTTTCTTTCTTTCTTTCGTGCCTTTTCTTTCTTTCTTTCTTTCTCGACTATTCTTTCTTTCTTTCTTTTCTTTCTTTCTCTCTCGCCTATTCTTTCTTTCTTTCCTTTTTTTTCGCCTTTTCTTTTTTCTCTTTCTTTCTTTATTGTTCTTTCTTTCATGCCTTTTCTTTCTTTCTTTCTACACTTTTCTTTCTTTCTCGCATATTCTTTTTTCTTTTTTATTTCTTACTCCCCTCTTCTTTCTTTCTTTCTTTCTTTCTTTCTTTCTTGCCTTTTCTTTCTGTCCTTCCTTTTCTTTCTTTCTTTCTTTCTTTCTTTCTTGCCTTTTCTTTCTGTCCTTCCTTTTCTTTCTTTCTTTCTTTCTTTCTTTCTTGCCTTTTCTTTCTGTCCTTCCTTTTCTTTCTTTCTTTCTTTCTTTCTTTCTTTCTTTCTTTCTTTCTAAAATAAAAACTCAGACATCTGCCGACATCTATCGGTCATAATGTGCTTTCGTCTGTGTAGCGAAATCATATACAACAACCTCGTCTTGTTGAATTGCTCCGAGCTTTTACCGTTCTATAAATTCCATCATGAAAAAGACACACATAAAAATAGAGAAACATAAAGAAAAGCAAAGGCAGAGGCACACAAACGCACATCAAAATCCAGAATCGTTCCAAAGATGCCAACTAACACATGGTTTTAGAATTTTGAAGCCAGTGAGAATTTCGGAACATTTCAACCACGAACACCAATTTCGACCAATTTTTTTACAATGAAAGCACCAAGAAACGGAACTTAATCTCGCAAGAAGAAAAAAACATTATTATATATCTGTTTCAATGAAGATGTGCTGCCTGTAAACACCCAGTGTGTATATATATATATATATATATATATATATATATATACACGTAAATTCATAGATATATATACGAAAATTCATATATATATATATATATATAAGTAATGAAAATCTTGGTAATCCGTATGGATAATCCCAATGACGATGAAATCCGGAGAGCTCAATGTTAAAGCAGAGCGATTAATTTAATTTAAAGAATACCGACATCTTTAAGGTTCCATGGTTATAATTTATTTCCCCAGGGAGTTTCTTTTTCCCTGGCTCATCAGACCTCACTTTTACACTTTTGAGGAGTAGTATTGAGTTGATCAACTTAATACTACCCCTCAAAAGTGTTAAAAATTATATGTAAATTTAAATTCATTTTTTATGCTTGGAAGTGAGGTCTGCTAAGCCAGGTTAAAAGAAACTCCTCATGAAATAAATTATAACCATGAAATCTTAAAGTTGTCTGTTTTTTTAAATTATATATATATATATATATATATATATATATATATATATATATATATATATATATAATCCAGAGATAGACTGTTTCGCTGCATCACAGTTCGTTAGTATTGTTAGACATCCGATTACTTCGTGCTGGATCAAAATTTGACCGATTTGGCATCAGTCAGAGACTCTACTCCAAAGCTATCTCCGCACGGCAGAGAAAAGTAATCATTTAATCCAATATATACGTGATGTATATAAACACTAGCCGAGCAGTCAGATCGTTCAGTTCTGACGAAGAGCTATGCGCTAAGTAGGAGGAGTAGCTTTCTTTTTGTCAAGTGGCGGCTTTTGCTGCATCACCCTGTATATATATATATATATATATATATATATATATATATATTAAATCCTGTCAAAGGACGAATATTTTCTCTGAAAATTTCTCGACATTCAGGCCGGTAAATGTTATTTAATACTGTTTATTATAAACAGAGCATTTACTTAAATACTTTTATCTATAAAAAGAATGTTAAACATAAAAATGTCTTTAATAAATTGTCGGACTTTGTCCATTTCTTAATGTATGACGTCATTTGTTTACATTTGATACGCCAGAGCAGTTATGAATGTACGAGATTCATGGAAGATTGAAGTTTATAAGCAGTAAATTCGACCTCGCCAACCGAACGATCCTTTGTGGCCGAGAGGTTAGGCACGTCAAGCTAAATGACGCTTCCGTATAGGATGCAGGTTCGACTCATGTCAAAGGACGAATATTTTCTATGAAAATTTCTCGGACATTCAGGCCGGTTAATGTTATTTAATACTGTTTATTATA